TGATACTCAATGCTCAATAGATTGCAAAGTGAAGTCTAAGGACATTGTATGTCATATGCAGTTATCTAGAAGAAAAAATTTTCTCCCTAGGGTGCAGTTGAAATGAATGATTTGCTTGTGATTATCTTAGGAAATTTTGAAAAATGTGGTTTACCTTCTAATTCTCTCCACAAACTTGCAATCATTTTGGTTTTAATTAGTTTTAGTATTTATTGTGTTATTATTACAATAAACGTGGGTGAGGGTATCATTGTCAGGTAGCAAGCATTCCTTTCAGTTGATACTTCTCTTGCTCAGTCTTTCGTTTCTTGCATTGTAATATCATCAAGCCGAGCTAGTATTTCCTAGTAAAGATAGTATTAAAGTTTTCTACACACCTTTTCAGTAGCACTATTGTTGTTTAGTGGCTTGTACAAATAGATTTCAACTTACAAAAGATGATTGGCTCATCATCATGTGCTCTTCTCCATTTCTGTTAATTGTGTGAGGTGAGTGATCATTTGGTATCTGGGCTCTTGATCTTTTTCCATGAACTGCAGGTCATCTTTACTTGACAATTGAATGTCCCTAGGCAAAGACGGCTGGAAGATAAAACCTTGCATGGTAGCGTCCACAGGGAAACAGCATTTTCTATACATACACTGCTGACTATGGGGGTAAATATTCTAAGATGATGATCAAAATTTATGATTTAAGAACATAGTTAAAGCAGATTTACCTCTGATTAATAGCTTAAAGAACCTATGAGCCATCTCCATAGTAGCTACATTTTCTCTATCTATGATGTTCTTTCTCCTAATTTTTTAAAATTTATTTAACTCTTCCGTATTTGTGAACTGATAGAAAGGTAGTGTGACTTTCTTAGAGGATAAGCCTCACTTTAAAGATATTATCAACAAGCTTGTATAAACATTCATGCAAATGGGAAAACACCTGCTGTGTTACTTACTGCTAGCAGTGATCATGCTGTTGTACTCTGGAGTGAAAGAAATGTGGAGAATGCATGGAAACCAAGGACAGTGCACAAAAATCTGCATTCCTGAAGGTTTATATGATTTTTAATTTATCCAAGAGATGCTTGTCTTTGATACTATATTGAGGCAGAAAGACAAATCTCCATGCTTTGGGTCAAGAAAGCAGCAATTAACACTCAGCTTTAATAATGGTCTTCTGATGGATTATACTCAGCAGACCCTATAATCCACATTTTTTTTATGTGAGATACAGTTCACAAAAGCCATCTCAATCCATAACAGCTCATCACATACGAGTGTTTAGAGCAGAATGGCACTCCTCTCTACCTCTTTTAACATCCATATCTTCCGATTGAAGGGTCGGATTGCACAAGTTCTAGTAGAAGTTTAATCCATTTGTTAGCTACTCATGCCCTAAAGACATAATTCTGCCTTCACGTTTTTGTTTTTAATTTTTGTGGAGCTGGAGGGGCAGAATTCTGAATATTCCCATAAAAACATGAATATTCCGCATATTTCCTCCATTCTCCCATTTTCCCCCTCCTCTTACTTTAATTTTGTCACAAAAATGTTCATATATATTTGTTTGACTGTTAGTAGCCAACGTCTTGGCTTGAACTTGTTTATTTGATTTTGTGGTTCTAAAGAGTGACAAAATCGCATTTAGGTCCACCAACCCAATCAAATCTTTCCTAGGAAATTAATTCAATTTGATTGTGTTGACGCACAATTGTGCAACACATAAAATGGTGTTATATGTTATCTATATTAGTAGGTATTTTGTCTATTAAAAAATTATTTTGTATTTTGTTGGTGCAATTTTTTTGAGATAATTGAGGGAAAATCAAGGACTACTTGAGACTTAGAAGAAAGATGCCATATGGTGATTTCATCAATTTAGGTTAAACTTTGCAATTGATTTCTTTTAGATAAAGTTCAAATAATTTCATGTTACTGTAGATCTTTAACATGTTGACATATGGTAATCAATGCTATAAATACATAGAAATGAAATCAAGTAAAGAAAGATCAGTCTCTCACACAACAAGGTCAACTCTATTTTCATTTCATTTTTTACAAAACTTTCACAAATAATGTTTTGGTTTAGCTCTATACTTTCTCAAATAGTTTTCTTAATTTGATTGTCAACTCTACACTCTTACCAACTTTACCTCTAGTTTTTGTTATTTTGTTTTGAATATAGCCATTATTGTATTTGATTTCTTGTAATTCAATTTACTACATTTTACTCTAAATTCATCTTTTTACCTTCTTTTAAACTTAGTTTTATACTTTTTTTTTATTACACAACCTTTATTTCATTCTTTATGCTTTCATACTTTTACGGCAACATCACGCTTTCTCCTTGTAATTTATTTTTCCTGCCATGCACTTTCTTTTCTCTCTTTCCATCTATTTTTTTCTTTTATTTTAATCAACAAATCAACATTTTACTCTTAATTGTAAAAAGTTCTTGATTTTCTTTCAAAACAATTATTTGATCATGATGCATTACATAATTTATTTAATCAACACTTTTTCATCAATTCATAACCATGTTCTACACTTACAAACAGTAAGAGTTACTAAGAATCTTTTTTACTCAATTTGAATAAAATGAATGACATTCATTACGCGGCCCAAAAAAAAAAGAAAAATAGAGACGAGAATGTAACCCACTGCACGATCTCTTCTAACAAATAAACAATTATACTAATTGGACTAGACTTTTCCCATCGAATTTCTTCAACACAAAAATCTCCAATATCACGTGTTACAAATAATTTACTTAATAATACTTCACCAATTTAGTCAACAAAAAACAATATTCTTACGCAATTTTCAAAATGAGAAGCGTGCCAGTTTCCAAAACCTTAGGTTACCATCTCATTTTTTTTTTTTTAATTATTTTTGGCCACCAATCCATCCGTGTTTTGAAAAGCTATTTACGTTATATGTTAGGGGTTATTTGCTTATAAAAAATTATGTTATCGAAATTACACAATTTAATTACGAAATAGAGTTTAATCCTTTAATTTAAGAGTTATCTTTTATTTAATGGTGATTATTTTATAATTTAATATAATTTAAATTATAAATTAATTATTTTTTACCTAATATTATATTTTAAATTGAAAATAATAAGTGCTAATTCAACTAAATTTCTATAATTAATTGTGTCCACTACTTAGATTTGATGATCATGTAGCTGGCGGGAAATATTTTTCTCCAGTTTAGAAAGATCTGTGTGATGCATAACTCACTAATTAAAAAAAAGATAAGATTAAAAGTATTTAAATTCACTACAAAATTATAAGAATTCAGTTTTTTGTAATGTATGTAGTTAAAATATCTCTCACTGAATGTAGGAGATGGCACTTATCATTAGAGGCTGTCATACTCAATAATTAATGTTTACAACCTAATACAGTTCCAAGAGTAAAATTTTTTTTTTTTTTGAAATAACTAAATGTATTCATATTTAATTCATACCTAACCAGTAGACGACACAAAATGAGGAAAGTTGGGCTAAGATTTGAAGCCTTCCCCATTTCGATCCAGATCGCAAATATAAAACGACTAGGACGACTCGGCTTTAGTCTTTTTCTAATTTTAAAAAAAGGGGCAAAAAGTAGTGTTAAGCCCCTAGGCTTTCCTTATTTTTCATACTTTCAATGAAAAAAGTGACATGTAGGTCTCTAAATGTTTGAATTTGAACAAATTAACCTTTATGTTAATGACAAAATCATATGCAGTTAAGCAAGTTACATAGTCATTGGTATTTTTGTTTGTACAATAATTTCTTTACATTTAAATACTGATGTGATATAAAACTTAATTATTTAGTTCTTGATTTTTAAGAATTTTAATCTATATGCAATAAATATTTAAATGTAAAATAATTATCACTTCAATATCTAAGCATAAAGGAATTATCAAGCAAGTAAAAAAACACACAATTTTTTAATTTACATGACCATACGAATGATTTTACCCTTAACACAATGGCTAATTGACTTAAATTCAAAAGCTTAGGGGCTTGTATGCTACTTTTTTTTCTTTGAGGGCTTATATAAGAACATGGAAAAAGCATGGGACTTTAGGTAAGGTTTTGCCAAAAATAAATGAATCGCGCTTTTCAGTAAATTTTCTTTTGGGATACCCGCTTTTTAAATGCGCTTTTTTGTCATTTTTAGGGTCGGTTAAATATAGCGAACGATTAACGATTTTACCTAAATCACTAAATTACCTAAATCACTAAATATAAGTGTTTGATAAATTTATATATTTTAAAATTATTATAAATAAAATATTTAGTAAAATTTTTATTTAACGGTTTAAGACTAGTGGATAATGATTAGGATCCAAATCGCTAACGGATTAAAAAAATTAATTTATGTAGCTTTTTATATCAAATTTATAGTAGATTAAAATTTTTTAATTTTATTGATAAATTTATTCATTTTAATTTTTTAATTTATGGTCACATTTTTTAATTAATAATTATCTAATAAATTTCAATTTTGTTTTTTTACTTTTAATAACATTAAGTGAT